CTACCTCGTCGGTCTGGCGGTCTAAGTGTCTACAACCAGTTTCCTGAGTAATGAAGTTTGAAAGACAGTTGTATCTATCAAAAAGACCCTGAACTTCGGAATAGTATGAAACCCGTACCTGGTGAAAGACATACGTTACAGTTCAGAAACATATCAACTAACCTCCCTTCTGCATTGAATATGTAGTATCGACTGTGACAACCATATCTTGCTTCCTAATGATCTTGAACAACGTTGACAGGTGTAAACTTGTAAAATCCGACAGAAGAAGCATTCTGAAAGTACTGTAAGCTAGGAAGTATTGAGAATCGGAAGACATACCACCAACAGACGTCTTCAACGAGCCGATGTTAAGGCTAAAGAAAATCTAACTCATGTTTCCTTCAACCTCTGACACCATGTTGGTAGGGGGCATACTAATCTCAGACGAGTGACCTGAAATGGCAACACACAAACTACACAAACCTCGTGGACACTCCGACCAAACTTCTTCCTCCAGCGACAGATCAACTGACATCTCTTCGATGAACTAATCCAGAATCGTCGTCGTATTACCTATTACTGAACAGAATGGAAAAGGTGAATAAACAAAGTTATAAAAATAATAAAAAATTAGCATAAACAAATTAATTTCGAAAACATCTGAGGTGACACGGAAAAGCTTTGTGCAATTACGGTAGCCTACGTAAGATCACGTATATCAGTTATCATTAGGGCGCGGCATTTGAATATGAAAATAGAAATTCAACATTCAGAAGATAATAAAAATCTTCGAAACATACAATGATCATTATAAGGAGAATGACTGTAGTTTGACGTTGATTTTTTAAAAAGCGGTGGCCCAGTTATTAAAAACAAAATGTGTTCAGAGCTCCGCTGAAACGAGGGTAGATAATCCGATAGATCTTGATTCAAAATTTTCAGCGGTTAGCAACATTGCACATGGATCACCTGTCGGTATAAACTGATCACTTGACAAATTATTCAAAAATGCTTAATCTCTGTGAAGTCTGAGAGTTATTCATATTTATTCAAAAACGGATTCACAATTTATATGACTGGCGAATTGCCAGAGGCAAAAGATAAGCACGTTTTTGTGTACTTCATTATGAAAATAATTCAAAAAAAAAAAAAATTGAACAATTTTCTTTATATACTTTGCGGGGCTCCCAACACTTCGCTGATTCGGTCGATCACCATCCGAACGGAGTTGTAAATGCTGGCTAAATCGTTCGGATTGCAGCTGTCTCTCATCCTCCTAAATAGAAAACTGGTTTAAAATAATGGAAATTCAATTCTCACCTGTCTTGTAAAACGGTAACAAGACGCCTACCCAATCTACCTGCGTGCACTAGATCTGCTAGGCGGCAAGCAGATTGCACCTGATTCTTAAGTCGTTTTAATATGTCATGTACCGTCGACCTCTAAACAGACCAAGTTATACCACAAGTCTTTAAAAAGAATCATACCTCATTGACAATAGGTACGTTCAGGTTGATGTCTCTTTTTGTTTGAACGTGCTGGCTATTTTCATAAAAAGCACGACCGGTTGTTTCTTCCATTTAAAATGCTTTTAATGTAGTTTGTTGTTGATTAGCTGGCAAGACTACACGTGGCAAAAAAGTCGTAAGTTTTTTCAATCTGGGTTCATTGAAAAAACTTGAGTCAGAGCTCACTCTTCTCTTCCATGGAGCGAAAATCTTGCTGCCTTCATGAGCGCAGGTTTAACTTGACTAAGTAAAATTTGAAACTGTTAAGAATTCAACTGTGTAGCGTTCAGAACTCCTGCATTCCTTCCTCGCCGTCCAGAACGTTTGCATTCCATTCACGACGTCCAGAGCGTTCGCATTCTATCGTTAACATGCCTTTGATTTGATTAAAAACAAAACGTGTTCAGAGCTCTGCAGAAACGAGGATAGATAATGCGGTAGATCAGGTACGAAGAGCCTTGTGATGAAATGAAAGACGAGAAAGCAGAACTCTTTATTATTGGAACATCAATCTAGAAAAGATTAAAATTCGTTAGTTTATCACATTTTACCATCAATTGTCATAAAAATAAGAAAAACACATGAATGACGGGGAAGACAAATTAAGTGAGAGATAGATAAGAAAAGAGAGAAAGAGCACGAGAGAATATACTCGGCTTAAGGCTAGTCCAACTGATTTCTAACTGACATCTGTATCTATTTGAATGGTCGGAAGTTTTACAAACTTTTAAAATTCTTTTTGGTTTTGAAAAATAAAAAAAATTAAATTTTCTTTTTTTGTCGGCTAGTGCCTTGAATGAAAGTTATGAGCAGTATGCTTCAAGTCAGTTTATTGTCCAGTTTGAATTGTCTTTTGGGTGTGGGTAGCGCGTTCCTGAATGTATGATTGAGATGATGCTTTTAAAACTATTCTATACCTCTCCTTCCTTATTGTAAAGGCTGGTGACTACATTGGCTCCGATTCCCCAAGTATTTTCGGCGTCGAAAACAAGAGACTCAGGGGGGTTGTGGATTCCTCCTTGATCACGAGCATAGATCTTAAATATGAACTTTACTAGGCAACTTGTTGATGTTGCTAACCTTCATGCTTTTTCCGGCCTTCAAGACAGTGCTGGCTGGGATGGCGTAAACGATTTCTCTTCTGTTTCCATCAAGTTTTCTCTTGAGTTTGTGCTCTCCGAGGTTTTCGTCCTTGGTTCTGTGAGTGTTCTCGAGGGTGATGAACTTTCCGTTGGGGTCGCATTCGGCAATGGTCACATTACCCTAATAGTGAAAATTAAGTTAAGACATGGAGAAAGAAAGGAAAACCTTAGCAGATCTTTGGAAGGTAGTCTTAGTAGAGACTTCTCCTCTGACTGAGCGAGTAGAATCAGTATCCTCTTGTTGTTGAAGAGAATGGGTCTTGACAACTTGTTCGACCATTTGGCGGAGTCCGACTCTGAACAAATAAATATTATCTTTGTAATGATATCTCAATCATACCTGCTTTCTTCTCCTTCCAACATCTTTCTGTAGATGGCGATTTCGGCGTCGAGCATTTGCTTGGTATCAAGAAGAGCTTGGAGCTCAGCAACCAAGGTTTGGCATTCTTCACGCATTCTGCGGAGAGTGGCGTCTCTGTCGTTGAGGGCAGCCTCGTATTGTCTTTGGTCGTCTTGGAGCTGAAGAAAGCGATAATAAGATAAGCAGTTTGGATATGGCTTACTTGATAGTTCAAGTTCTGGACTTCCTTCTCGAGAAGAGCGTTCTTGTTCTCAAGATCTCCCAATTTACCGCGGAGGTCACTGATGTTATCACGCATTCTCTTGACTTCTTCTCTTTGATAGTTGGATTCAACAGCGGCTCTGTTGGCTGATCCTTGAACCTCAGACACCTGGAAATATGAAGGCTTAAGTTAAGGTTGCTAAAATTTTCAAACCTTAAGCTTGTACCAGCTTTCCATGTCTTGCTTGCCTTGTTTGGCAATGTAGTCATACTCATCCTTGATATCTCTGAAAACAATGCGTTCGAAAGAAAAGAGGATTATTTTCTACCTGATAGCAAGGGCAAGTTCGTTCTTGAAGAATTCTCTGGTATCAGCTGGAGCTTGAGCCAAGAGAGCTTGGAGTTCCTTAACCTCTTGTTCGTGAACACTAAACAAACTCATAAACTACTATAGAATTATGGAAAACACACCGTCTGAGGAATTCGAGTTCCTCCATGAGAGTTTGAACTTGGTTTTGGAAGTCAATTCTTCCAATAGTTTCCTCATCAAGGTCCTGAATTCAGTTAATTATCATAAATCTCTAAGATTCATTCACTCACGTTTCTAGCCTTCTGGAGTTCTTCCCAAATACGGACGTTGTCAGCATTGAGACGTTTCTCCTCCTCGGTGAGTTGCTTCCATCTGGCACGGAGCATCTCGAGCTCAGCTTGAGCATCAGCAATGGCGTTGGTCCATTGGCTGATCTTCTCGCGATCGTTCTCACGACGGTGTTGAATATCTTCATAACTGTAAATAATATAATGATATAATGAGAAAACAAGAAGAAAGAAAAATATCAACCGCACATGCGAGCATACATATCACAAGTAATTCAAATGGGAAAATGTATGACGGCATTCCACGTATTATTCTAATGAGGTGAAAGTGACTAACCGGCTTCTGTATTCAGCTAAGTCATCACGAAGACGGGCAACTTTGACATCAATTTCAGCTTTTCTTCTAGCAGCATCATCGATATCTTTACGAGCAGTAGACAAGGATTCGGAGTATTTGATCTGTAGAAGGAAAATTATTATAAAGTAATAATTTCAAAAGAAAACAAAACAATCGTTCGTTCTTGTTATTTCGTTTTACAAGGAGACAAGAGAGACTAGGAGAGAGTTGATGTGTATATGTGTATATGGTAGAATAAATATTATTTTGAACGAAAAATCAAATCAAAACATCGATTATCAATCGAATGCAAACAAAATACAAAAATGAATTTCGTTTTTTATATTTTTCAATCCACACATCAACTATGCTAACTATATGATAGTTGAGTATAAGTTATAGATAAGAAAAAGATAAAATAGTCGTCAGATCTAGTCATTAAAGAAGAAGAGAAGAGAGACAACGATAGACAAGCGATAGAGAGAGGTAGTTAGAGAGAGAGGGAGAGAGAGAAAGACGTTGATCTTGATTCGGAGTGGATGATGTCCATCATCAACAAAAAGTAGAGACAAATCAATTAAAATTCGAATGACATTGGCAGTATTAGTCATTGGGCCACACCCAAGCCAGACGTCTTTCTCCCATTTTCATAATCGCCATCACCTGATGGACACGTTCCAAATATGGCTTGTGTGTGTGTGTGTATTTCGAAATACGAAGAAAAAAAAAAGAAAAAAAGTAAAGAAGAGAGTATGGAGAAGTTGGATAATGTCAAATTTATAAACATTATTTATTCTTTTGCAGGACTCTTTCATAAATATTATTTATGAACTGATTAGATAAGCGAAAGATTCACTCTCTGTCTGCACTTTATATCGAAGCGATTAACGAATGAACGAAGACTTTTTTGGAAATTTAAAGAATCTAAGAAATGAACCTTGATTTCACTTGTGTCTTTGCCCCATTTTCCTCTCAGTTCATCCAAGTCAGCTACAAGCTTACGGTTTTGTTCCTCAAGACGCTTTACACGGTCAATGTAGTTTCCAAGACGATCGTTCAAGCCCTTCAATCATTGTATCTATGAGTGACAGCTGAGTATACTAATTACTCACTTGAAGTTCTTTCTTTTCCTTATCAGTGGCTTCAAGGAAAGACTTGGCGGCATTGGCTGACAAAGCTGGAGAAATTCCTCCGATGGTTGCAGATCCCATTTCGGTTACCATCTTGAGGACACGTCCTATAAACATATTATTAATTAGGATGTACTAAGGAATATAAGGTTGTTTTTTATTTTTCTATTGGCTGAGCTACGTAGGTTGCAAGAGTTACCTGATATAGCTGGGCTGTTATTCCAAACACCTGTGTCATTCTCGTAAAAGTTCTTCTCGAATATAGAAGAACCCGAGTTTAACTCAAATCCGCTTGATCTCGAGCCGTACACTCGATTACTATCAAGAGATTTTTTTATGTCAAATGTTTTGGGCTGTGCAGTAGAGTCATAAATGATATGAGATGCTCTTGAAACGTAAGGTGTTTCTCGTTCAATGCTTCTCTCAGAGGCTGTAGGATTGGCACGGTAGGTAGTCTCGGAGTATGGATTGTTCGTGTTTGAGGAGTAAGTAAAAGACTCGGATGTCTTAGTGAACGTACTTTCAGACATATGACTTTTAGAAGCTGAACCAGAGGCATAGGAAGCACCAGTGCCTGACGCAGAAGCAGCTCCAGTGCCAGAAGCAGACTGTGATCCTGTGACAGAACCGTATGCAGCTCCACCACCAGAACCGTAAGCAGCTCCGCCGCCAGAACCGTATGCAGCTCCACCGCCAGAACCGTATGCAGCTCCACCGCCAGAACCGTATGCAGCTCCACCGCCAGAGCCGTACGCTCCACCAGATCCAGAACCATATGCACCACCTGATGCTGAACCATATGCACCACCTGATGCTGAACCATACGCACCTCCAGTACCAGAAGCGTAGTTACCTCCAGTGCCAGAGGCATAAGAGGCTCCAGAGCCAGGAACATATGTACCTCCAGTAGTAGAGGCATACGAAGCTCCAGAGCCAGGAACATAAGTACCTCCAGTAGTAGAGGCGTACGAAGCTCCAGAACCAGGAACGTATGTGCCACCAGTAGAAGAGGCATACGAGGCTCCAGAGCCAGCAGCATATGTAGCTCCGGTACCAGAATCATACGAGACTCCAGTACCAATAGTAGCGTGTCCGTTAGAAGGACTTACGCTTGAATATCCGTTAGAATATATATGAGTAGAGGAAGAAGTTGTATAAGAGGAGTCTGCTGCAGGAGGCACATCATAGATGGGCTCCTCTTTAGTGACAGAACCATTAGAGGTTAATGTGGAGCTTTTTTTGCTTTTTCTTGACTTGAAGGCGAAACCATTATTTTGTTCGGAAGATTTGCGTTCAATGCTGTTAACGAGATCACTGACGGTCTTTTTGACAGCTTTGACAACACCTTCCTTCTTCTCTGGCTTCTTCTCCTCTTCCATTATATAATATTAGAGAAGTAAGAAGAATACTATGTAAAGAAGATGCAAGTAGGAAAAGCAAAAAAATAAAATAAAGGAGAAGTTTGAGGAACGTTTAGCTTGTTCGTAACCAATATCAACAATGAAAAGATGTGCTTATCAGTTGAGTTTCAAGTCTCTTCTAGCGTATTAACGATTTGGTACACAATCATCTTCATCGGTAAACATTCATGATGCCCAAAAGCTTCGGACTCTCTGTTCCTTTCATGCATGAGAGCTAGGGAATGAAAGTATTGTTTCAGCATCAACCAACCGAAGCCGTATATGGTCTTATCGGACAATTCAATGACTAATTGACGGGGTGGGCGATTATCAAAGCATTTTTGAATTCTCATTTGACATTCATCATCAGCTATTCGTTATATTCATTATCAACAATACTAGACAGCTGTAAAAGATGAAAATATTTGAAACATTGCAGGTATTTATAAAGCTTCTCCAATTCTGACACAACCCAATAACAAGTAGAAGGATGGAGGAAAGAGAGAGAGCGAGAGAGGGGTGAAGAAGTTGAATCGAAGAGAATACGAAGAGAAGGAGGGGGGGGTGAATTGAATGAAATATTTGAAAATAGCTATCTTACCTCCGGATGATCTGTTTTCTGTCATATTGAAAGCCTTATTAGACAATTAGTTGTGACTATACGATAATACTAGTAGTAGTTGTTGGATGATGAAGAGGATACTATCTTCTTCTTCTTCCTTACGATGGGGGGGAATGTATGGAAATGGGCTGAAGGAAATTCTGTTTAAGACAACCGAACGAGAAAACAAAGAGAGAAAACGTAAGAGGCTGACAGAGAAAAAGGTGAGAGGAAAGGGTTGATGGATTTGTATAGGCAGAATACTATAATCAGACGTCAGGATAGGAACGTAATGAAGAAGATACTACACTTACGAGAATTCAGAGAAAGATATTTTCTCATGCAGTAGAGAAAGATGATGTGAATGTAGGAGAGTAAAGGTGGGTGGGGGTTAGTCAAGGCTGATCATCAATGTCCGCCAGAATCACCTATCTATCTTTTGACAAACAAAATCAATTACGTCTGTCTTGTATGCCACACCCAACATGGCAGAACTTGTCCCTCCAATTGCCTCTTATGCTATCTCGAAATCTACGATTTGAAGCTTTTTTTTTTCAATTCTTCAAGACATTCTTCCAGACGCATACATTGCACATATGAATCATATGTATACTGATAGAGAATGAAGTGGGAGTTAGTATGAAGTACAGTGTTAACCGTATAGGTAATGAAGAGGCGGACGAACTAGATGCATGTGAGATAAGAAGATGAAAAATCTTTTTTTTATGAAACTCCATAATTGGTCAATCAAATGACCTCTTTGCTCATTGAAATTTAAATAAAGAGTTTGATAAGATTTATTAACGATGAGATGGTTAGACAGAGAGAGGGGGGGTGGTGGTTGTAGAAGGGACAGAGGGGGTTGGGGTGGACAAGATAATTCATGAAATTCCGACCGTCATTGTCAATTATCATTAAATATAATTTCAAATGACATATCTTAACTATATCAAACTGATAAATTATAAAAATGACGACTGAAACATGTCGAACAAGTTGTGAGTTCGTTGAAGAATTCGTTATGTCAATACAACAGCTTCATCATTAGCTTTTTGCTCTCTATTTACAGCTTTTCATCTATTGATTTGTCTTTTTAGCTAACTTTCCCTCTCTCTCTCTCTCTCTCTCTCTCCCTTTCTCTCTCTCTCTATTACCTTCTTATATACTAAGAGGTATGAAGTATGAAATACATTCCCTATATGGTGATTTGCTTGATCTACAATACATCCCATTCATTCGTTCATTCTCACTCATCGCTATTCCTCTTCATCATCTTATCTCTTTGTTGTTTCATTCTCTGTGAAGAGACCTTTCTCTGATACATGCTATAATCTCAAGAAAAAACAAAACTTGAAGATGAACGCATCAATTGAATTGTTTGAGCACATTACTTATTAGCACAGAATGTTCTTTCAAACGACGTCTCGACTGTTTCACCCAATTCTCATTGAAGCTTCTCCTTTGCGCTTCTTTCTCTATGGTGTCGATTTTCCTGTCTTCTGTTTTGTCCAAAGTGAATCGGAGCAAACGAGTCCTTCTGGACGAGAGAAGAGAGAAAGAGGAAGAGAGTCTCTTCCCAAACACCTTTCATCTTTTAACGCCATTAGCTATCAGTCGGCAATATGAAAGAGAAATGAACCAAAGTATGTAAATGAATCTAATTTTCATGATAAATTAGAGACATTGGAGCATTTTGGGAATGAAAACAGGGCATGTGACAGTAGTAATCCTGAGATGGCAATCTCCTCTTCATGCTTTTCATGAATCAAGCAGTTCTCAAATATTGACATGCCTTATCTATGATTTAAGCAAATATATGGAAATGTTGTTGCCATCCGTAGATTTTTGTTACAAAAGTGGATTCCCCTTCCCCCAGTTCACATATTCAAGCTTCCAACTTCATTTTCAGGTGCAAATGCTAATTAGCGGTTGGTGTATGATGATGAGAGGGGCAGTTTCATTCTGACCAACAAGATGGTATGAAGAGCGGTTGCATTCCTTTATCAACATCAATCGTTTCCCTATATGTTTCATCAGCATTAGCATGTTCGAGATGAATGCTGAGAACTACAAGTTGAGGATAGCATATGGATTGATCGTATGGAAGCAATAGTTGAATGAAGAGAAAGAGAAGCGAAAAGTAAGAATAGATTAACACAACAAGGTCAAAACTATCATGATGTGTTTACTACTGAATGCGTAAAAGGAAAATTCAAAAGATGGGGAAATGCAAGACATTCATTGTAATCTTTGATAGGTGAGATGGCCACGAACGAATATTTGATTGGCCTTTTTTGCAAAAACTAATTGCTGGATGCGTTTATTCGGCCACACAATTTCAAATGGATTGCATAGTTAACGATACGTTCTCATACCCGTCCCTCAGCCAATCAAATTGTAATGTTCCTCTTCTTATGAAGAGAAGCAACTATACGAAACTTCATATCAATATGGTTTTTCATTAATTACTGTTTGGATGATATTGCAAAAGGGAATACGTACCTCCTCCTCCGCTTCCGGTTCCACCAGATACATAGTTTCCGCTTTGACGGGACAGAGAACCAACAGCTGTACGTGGCTGGATGGTGGATCTGTATTGGATCTCGTATTCAGAAGATGACTCCTGCTTCGACATTCCGTGTTCGATTTCTGAATCATATAGCATTAGGAGATACGTAATGAGTATGTCAATCACAGCTTAAGAGATAAACGAAACAAACACAACACAAAAAAAATTGAAACGAATAGTACAAATGATCTTGAATGGAATGGATGATGATGAAGATGAATGAGAGAATAGAGTGGATGAGCGAAATCCCAGGGAATTATAAGAGTTTTAACGTCTTCATACACTAGTTGACACAAAACGAAACGGTTGAAAAATCTAAAAAGAGGACGAGAAATAGCTAATCGGTCTATGGGTCCATAGATGGAAGTCGAAAAAAATGAGAACCGGTTCGTTTTGCCACATTGGCTACAACGCCTCTTCTTGCCCCCACTATCCTCTCGTTCGGTATAGTCACCAACTTGAACATCTTCTGCAGATGAATAAGAAAATGGAAAATGATTCAGATGATGGCGATGGTCCTTCCTCGAATTGTTTTTTCCCTTCTAGTTGAACGTTAATCTTCAAACGAACCATTATTCTTCACAAGAAATCGCAATTAGATTCGGACAGACAGAGGTGTGGTCAATGAAGAAAAGGGCCAAGGATGATGATCGTCGTCAAGAAGAAGGCTAAATGATTCGAGACAACAAAAAATGGCTGATGGCTTTTGTGATTCATTCATTTATCAACGAATTCTATCAATTTCATTTTTATCCATGAAAGTCCATATAGACACGATGACTATACGTTCATCATCATCGGTCGGTCTATCGAGAGAAGGTAGCAAACCGAAAACGTGTGAGAAGGTAAGAGAAGAGAGAATGAGGATAGGAGAACTTGTCAAATAAATTTTCAGAGAGTCAGAGAGTCAGAGAGAGAGAGAGTTTATCATTTGAAAGTAAAAGTCAATAAGATGATTGTAATGCTTAACATGAATGATGTTATTCCTCGAAATGGTGATGATATGATGAAAAGATAGAGGAGAGAGAGAGAGTGATGAGGGAGAGTCGCAAGCGTATGAGAAGAGCATTGACATCCAAAACAGGAGATGAGTCTCATCTTAATGAAGTTGGTCGTTCATCAGAATCTTATTTGCACACCTTTCCTTCTAGTTGTTCGATATGACAAGAAATCAAAAAAAGAAAAAAAAAGAAATTGAAGAGATACACGAGGAATATTTGTGAAGAAAATAAAAGAAAAAACGGATCTGAAAACACAAACTGATAGATAAGATATCAAGGTCATTTGCTGGAAACTTCTTCACTTCACAAATACCGTTTAGTTTTCCATTTTCTGAAAAAATAAAAACGGAAGTCGATCATTCATTTCATTGACGTCGTTGTCGTCGTTCTTCTTCATCGCTTCACACATCTCATCTATCTTTGGTAAAGAAAATTGCTTATGCAAATGAAGAGTGAAGGTGTGAATTTCTTGAAGACGTGAATGATCTCATCTTGCAAAGCCATTAGTATCGTTTAAAGATGGACAACGCCCTTAAAGTGATTTCAGATGAGACTTCAAACTAGTTGGGATAAAGGTCGAAATTTGCGAGAAAAAAAAAAGTTCTTTGAAATCCAATAGATGGGGTTGTAATCGTTAGAATATTTCCAAAGAAAATCTTTTTTTTTCTGTTTTCCTCTCACCCTCCTTCTATCCACAGTTTGCTTGGAGGAAGGAGCAGAAGCACTGAAAGAGTTGATGAAGACGAAACTTTACAGAAAGGTTGAAGGAAAAAGGAAGAAGACCACGAATTGGGGAGGAGCATCAGCA